TTACAATCACTATAGTGGATGCCTTAATTAGAGATGGGTGGTGAAAAGCAGCACAGCTTCATCAAACTCAACATTTACCAAGGATCTGACCCACAAATTCCAGTACCAAACATGCAAATTTTTTTCATATTCAAGTGCAGCTAAGTACTTGAGGCAACCAAGGCACCAGTGAATGCAAATGGAATTCCCTAGCTGTGGTCTGAAAGGTAAATATGGGTTTAGCTTTCATGAAACTCAGGAAAAAAAAAATAAATAAAAAAGCAAAGCAGCTGATCGGTCATGTTAAATATAAATGACAGTTTACCTGTGATACTAAAAGGGGATTTTAGCTTCATTAAAAACAAAAGCTAACTACTATGAAGGAGATGAGTGAGCTATTACAACACTGAAAGACTTAAAAACGATACCCCAGGAGATAACATTCTGAGAATAAAGTGAAAGAGCTCATATAAAATACAAAAGGTGTGTTGTAAAGAAGGATCAGAAGGGCAGACTTTGAGCTTCATCCAGTCATAAATCAAAAGCTTGTTCTCCATCATTCTTGTCTATGAGGTCAGCTTTGATTCCCAAGCTACAATTCCCAAAGGATGGAGGTATTTCTATTGGCAAGTATGTGTCTTTCTTCCCCCGGGCTGGCTCTGCCAGCCCTGCTGTCACCATGGACTGTCATTATCTCAATCTCTTTACTGCCCAGGATTGTTCCATCCTGGAGCCATAGGGAACTATCACAGGGCTGCGAGAGGAAAACCCATTCAGAAGACTGAGGGCATTTGCAACAGATTAATTGACAAAGAAGTTTATCAAGCCAGGCCATCTGCAATAGTTCAGTGATTCTCCTTCACAGGGACCAAATGCTTTAGCACTCCAGGTGACATGTCAGGGACACAAGCTGTTACACAAAATAAAAGTGTTAAAAAACAATTCAAAAACTCACCACCAAAGAATATAATATCAATTCCCTATGCAGTCATGTGCTTCATATCTTTTGCATTTGAGTAACTGCAACAATAATCTTTGAGCTTTAGCTCAGGCAGACTGTCCACACTCACAAGAACAGTCTGTGCAAACAGGGCTCCCCACCTGAGCACTGGAGACTGGTTCAGCACCCCCGTTTGCAGTCAGGCATCTCTGCGTGCACAGATGAAGGGCAGACACTTCCCAGACTGAAATAAACACAAAACACATTTAGCATGTTGTTTCCTCAACCTTCGTGTAACATACTAAACCAGATAAGTGTTTTCTTAAGTCGAAAAAAAAAATAATTTCAAAAGATTTCTTGAATATTACTCAACACACCAGACTTCCACAATGTCCTCACACAGTGAGTTCTATTATTTGCTCCATTAGTATCATAAAGGTTTTACTTCTGTAATTCTCACTTACTACAGAGCAACGTTGGTGTGTGGTGTAAAACCTGATATTACTGCGGGTATCCCTAACAGAGATAACATTTACACAGAATAATACAGACATCTGATCCCGTATGTTTCTAGAGATAAAAACCTTCATTCTTTTGACAACAATTCGTAAGGGGAAGGCTTCGAGGGGGGTAAAACCTAAATTTTTAATACAAGATCGCCCTCTACTGTTTAGGAGAGAGGAAAACGAGTGAGGATCGCTGAGCCTGGTTTGGGCTGGAAGGGACCGTAAAGCCCAGCTCGTTCCAACTCCTGCCAAGGCAGGGACACCTTCCACTACCCCAGGCTGCTCCAAGCCCTGTCCAGACTGGCCTTGGGCACTTCCAGGGAACCGTGCCACATATTTTTATCCTACATAAAAAACAACCTGGAAAGGTAAAATGATTCCTTGTGGGTTGTTGTGGTGATATGACTGGTGGAGGGCTCCCAAAGAGACATGGGACACCACATGAATTAATTAGGCTTACTAAAACTTCCAAAAACTGAGATATGAAATGAGAAGTGACATGCCTTTGGCATCACAGATGATTGCCTGGAGTTATCACTTACCAATGTTCTTCAAATTATTTTGATGATTTGGACATTTCAGATCTGATTTTATATCTCCTTGCAGGGAAAGCTCACACCTATAGAGCCTGTTTATTCAAGGTTTATCTTTACCTAAGAGGATGTGCCTTCAATCTCCTCCCCTCCTTGATTCACAGCACTTCCCTGGCTGTCTCTGCCACACACTCACATTCATTCCAAGCTTTTACCTGATGTAAATCAATTATTTATTTTGTCCACGAAACCTGAGTGCTGAATGGCAGATAGAAGATGCCACATGTGTGCAGCACCCCACTGTCCCCAGAGGTGAGGGCTCCTCCCATGACCCAGGGACAGCAAAACCAGGTTAGGCTTGGCTGTACTTGTCTGGAATTTCAACACTTCACTGGTGTGAAAAGTTATGAACTCGGGACATAAAGCTCTTCCCTTTGGTTGGTGCAGGCAGACACAAGAGCCAGGTGTACCCAGAGGAACACCTGACTGCAGTTCCTGGCTCAGCCAATCATCTAGAAGCCAAATTAAAATTCTGATTAAATCATAGCTTTCACCAACTAAATCGTCCAAATGACAAATTTCAACCTTATCCACTTCACAGGCCCTCAGTCCACGAACTGACAAAGACTTCCAGAATGTAAAGCCTTGATGCTGATGCTCTCCTTTTTATATGTCAAAAGGACACTTTTTGGCAGAAAACTGATCTTTCCTACAAAATACACAACAAACAATTTGATGTGCTGGGCAACAGCTCAATTTAAGAAACAAACAGACCACCCTGAGAGGCAATCAGCCAATAAACACAATATTTGTCATTTAATTCTGCAAGATGCCAAGGGTAATAAGAAAATTCACAGGACTTCCCACTGGGCTCTTTTTCCCAACCTTTTTCCTAGATCTAGTTCAAATTTCACACATTCTAGCCCTATTTATTTCTGCCACAGCCATTATCACCATTTTCCATGCAATACCATTTTGATTTCCACTACATGAAGGCACCCAAATTCCTGAGAATTCTTTTGATCTTTCAAAGAATGACCAGGAGCATTACCACTGTTGCTCTTTTTGTATTTATTTACCAGCCTCACGCTGCTGCTTCCATAAAGCTCCAATCCCCAGACTTCAAGTCCTCAATAACTTTCTCCTGAACAGGCAAAAATCAATAACAGGAGGAAAAAAAAACCCAGCAAATTTCACATTTTGATCAGAGTACATGTGTTGCACATAATATCTGATGGGACCACAGCTAAAAACAAAAGCAGACAACATACCTGCTCCTTTGTGCCTCTCCTGAGTTATTAAAATCTTGTTTGCAGCTACAGTGACTGGCTGTCCTCACGTTGCCTCAATCCTTAGGATGTATTTCTTCCCATAGCTCATCACAGTCTGCAACATCTAGATTGTTTTAATTCCCCATTATGCTCAGCAAGGTAATTTTTGTACCTCTGCTATCACATTCTGAGTTTTAATAAACTCATCTTCTCCTTGATCCTCTCATCATCTGTTTCTCCATTCCCTGAACCCATCCTAAATCCTGACATTTCAAGCAATTTGCTCCTACAATCCTTCTCGGGCAGGTTTCAATAAAGCTTCCAGCTCTGGAACCAAAGTTACTAATGTAGGACTAAAATTTAAAATCTCCACACCTGGAGGTCTTGCACTGGTCCTGCTGGGAATCCTACCAAGCTCAAACCACTTGTGCCCAGCCATTCCTTTGACTTGGAACATCTCTGGAAGCCTCCATGGCATTGTCCTCTAAACTGATGCCAAAACTCACTGTTTGTGTCTAGATCCTTCACAGCTCTGTGTGTGTCTAAACACAGCCTGTAGAAATGTCTTAATACAATTTTAAAAATAAAATCCCACACTGTTCATTTATGTATTTCTTCTTCTTGATTAATGGCCAGAGTTACTCACAGAATAAACCAGAAATTCTGCAAAAAAAGATCTACTGGAATGCCCTAAGCACAGGCAGCAGCCCAGCTCTTAAAAAGAAGAAGCTGAAAGTATTTTTTCCTCCCTGGAGCAATCCTTCATGTTCAGATAAAAACACCGTGCAAGAGCATCAAAAACCTATTTTTACAGCACGATTAAAGCAGTACCATGACAAGAATATTTGACTTCAAGTTCATGGCTTAAAAGAGCAGAAATGGCTCATTTTCTACTGTTAAAAAGTCCTGTGGTCTCTGCACATGGAATTGACCACCCAAAACCCCCACAAGGCACCTGCTCAAGATCATTCCTGCTCTTGCATATCCTGTGAGTGAAGGCTCACATCCATCTCCATTTTTTATCATGGAATCAGGGAATGTTTTGGGTTGAAAGGGAATTTAAAGCCCATCTAGCTCCACCCTCTGCCATCAGCAGGCACCTTCCACTAGACCAGGTTGCTCCAAGCCGATCTTAGAACATTGCCAGGGATGGGGCAGCCACAGATTCTCTGGGGAACCTGTGCCAAGGCCTCACCACCCTCACAAGGAAGAGTTTTCTCGCCAATATCCCATCTAACCCTGCCATTTATCTTTGTGATTTCATTCCCCCTTACCCTATCACTCTTAAGAGCCACGGGGACTACCAGGAATAGGACAGTGAATGACGAACACACCCCGAGAGGGATTTAAAATGGAATTAGGGGCGGGGGGTCCGCCCACGCCCCTCCCTCGAGCCCTCACGGAGCTCGGAGCCCTCACGGAGCCCCGCCCCCAGCGCTCGAGACCGCCCCTTCCCGCCTCGCCGCCTCACCCAATCAGCGCAGAGATCACAGCGTCTATTTGCATATTAAAGACCGCCCTCCTCGCTGTTCACCAATCAGAGCACTCCTCTCATGAAGACGGGGGAAAGACCTGCTCGGCTTTCCACTCACCCGCTGAGCCGCAGCTTCCCATTGGGCGACGGGCCGGTGGGCGGGGCCAATTTGAACGGGCGGCGGCGGGGAGCGGCGCCATGGTGAAACCGCTGAGGGATCGGGATCGGGATCGGGATCGGGATCGGGATCGGGATCGGGATCGGGATCCTGGTACTGCCGAGGGTCCCGGCCCCACGATGAGCCCCCCGCTCTCCCCGCAGCCCGCTGCGGCGCCAGCCGACGGCTTCGCCTCCTCAGACGATGAGGCCGCCGAAGAGGACCCGAGCCCGCTCCACATCTCCTGGTGAGGCGACGCCCGCGGGGTCCTTGCTCTGAGGGAATTGTATGAAATCCCTATAATGAAATAGGATTAAATCGCTGTCCTGAGAAACAAGAGGGGTTTCTCTCCGCAAGGAAAACCCGAGCCGGGCTCTGGAGTCCTTCCGGGCTGGGGGTGGCCGGTGCTGCTGGTGTCAGTGGCTGTGGGTGGGTTGGAAGGGGCCGCTGGAGACCAGGCAGGATCACCCACAGCAGGAGCCAAGGATCGCACCCAGGTGGGTTTTAAATGTTTCCAGGGAAGGAGAGTCCACAACTTCCCTAGGCAGCCCGTTCCAGGCCTCTTTTCTTTACTCACAGGGTGGTGATGCCCTGGCACAGGGTGCCCAGAGCAGCTGGGGCTGCCCCTGGATCCCTGGAAGTGTTCCAGGTCAGGCTGGACGGGGCTTGGAGCAGCCTGGGTTGGTGGAAATTGTCCCTGCCCATGGCAGGGGATTGGAACAAGATGATCTTTAAGGTTCCCTCCAACCCAAACCTTTTGTCACCCTCAAAGTAACATTTTTCCTCATATTCACTTCCCACGTTTCATTTTGTGCCTGTTGGTCCTCGTTGTCCCACCAGACACTGGTGAAAAGTTCTGGCTCCATCCTCTTGACACCCCCTCCAAAGACATTTATATATTTAAATAATTGAAATCTTCCCTTCTGGTTTTTATTTATTTTACTTTTTATTTTCTAATAGGTTGTCTTTGTCTCCTCTCTACTCTTCAGAGTTCCTGGGATTATGTTCCCTTCCAGGTAAGAAGCATTCACTGAAATTTGCAGGCATATTTGAGAGCTGAAGAGGGGTAATACCTTGTACCCCAAATTTCTGTGTTGTGGGTGACTTCTTTTGTAACCTACCCCTGGAATAAGTGTTTTGGAAACACCAAAGCTAATCTAGAGAATATCTTAATGCAAGATCACGTTTTTTAAAGTCAAAAAAGTAAACATATAAACTTTGTCTGCATTTTTAACTATCAAAACTGCAGCCATGGTGAATCTCCACTCAACTCTTAAGTGATCTTTATTCACCCCTTTTATTTGTTGGATGAATTTTTGTGTTTGGGGGGGGGGGGGATTTTATGCTGTATCTTGATTTAAAATATCCAAAACTTTTCATCTGGAAAACACAGAGCACTTTAAAACCTTGGGCAGATTTCTTTAGTTAATCCTATTACATTAGAGTTTTAAGCAGATAATGGTGTTTAAACTGTCTTCTGCACCAGGGATCTACTTGCAAAAACAAGAACTGTGTTTTACTCAGGCACAGCTTTGTTCCTTGCTTTGGTTTTGGGGGGAGGCTGCCTGTGCTCTGTTCTGCTGCAGCTGCCATCCCATAAATGTCACTTACCTGAGTGGTGATTGGTGTTCATAACTTGTTTCAGGTTGCAGGTTTAAGGATATCAGAAGAAATCTTCAGAAAGATATAGGTGAGTGTTCTTTGTGCCAAGGGCAATTCCATGAATATTCTGTGACTATGGAATAAATAGTCAGGATATTTCCTGACAGGAAACATCTCCAGGCAGGAGCTGCACAGTACCCTTGAGGCATCTTCAGAGCAGCTGGCATCAAGATGAATTACAAGCTTGTAGTCTTCCTTTTTCCCAGAGAAAAGTGAAATTGGGATAGAAAGGAGGGAATTATGTAAAGATTTGTGCTGAGTATTCATCTGTAAGCACTAAAGAGCAGAGACAGATAGCAAATCCCCAGTGTCTGGGTAAGACAGGCTTAGGAAGCAGCTCCTGCCTGTCAGGGTGGGGAGGCCCTGGCACAGAGAAGCTGTGGCTGCCCCTGGATCCCTGGAGTTTCCAAGGCCAGCTTGGATGGGGCTTGGAGCAGCCTGGGATGGTGGAAGGGGTGGAATGAGATGGGTTTTAAGGTCCCTTCCAACCCAAACCATCCTGGGATTCTGTGATTTTAACTGGAGGTGGGATAGAAACATACTTAAGTGGATAGCAGGCTGTCCTGAGTGCTGCTGTGTTCTCCAGTGAGACTTCTCTCAGGATTCCCTCTGAACTGAGAAAATTCCTCTCCTGGATTACCTGAAGGGAAATGTGGGAGAGACTCAGTGGAAGAAAGAGTGCTCCAACCAAAACTGCTCACCCCTATTGTCTTAGCCCCAAAGATTAAACAAGGGCCAAGGTGCTTATCTGTTTATCCTTAAGCTTGATAGGCTTTGCTTTATCTGCAAGTGTCTTAATCTGTTGGCAGGAGAACTGAAGAGCTGTGGGATCCAGGATGTCTTTGTGCTTTGCACCAGAGGAGAGCTCTCAAAATACCGAGTACCAAACCTGATGGACACCTACCAACAGCACGGGATTTGTGTGCACCACCACCCCATTCCTGATGGGAATGCTCCTGACATTGCCACCTGCTGCAAGATCCTGGAAGAGCTCAGAACCTGCCTGGAAAATAAGCAGAAAACAATGATACAGTAGGTTCAGGCTGCCTCCCCATCACCCCATGTTCCTGTAAAGGATGCCAGCTTCTTTCCAGCTGTATGAGCAGGGGAAATAGGATGGTGTGAGAAGGCAGTTGCACTCTTTAGGGTTAGTTCATGCTGTGAAGTCTGCTTGTTCCTCCTCCTGCAGCTATTTGGAGAGAATTCTTCCTTTCAGAAGATGAGAATATCCCTTTTCAAGATTAGAATGTCCCATTTCCCCTTGCTGTGTCCAGCAGGAGTTTTAAAGTGTGTTTTGATATCCAGCCTACCTGGATATCAGGTGTACAGAATGAGTTGGGAGCTAAAACACTTCTTTGTCAGAGGCTGTGACTGCCCCATCCCTGGAAGTGTTCCAGGCCAGGGATGGGGCTTGGAACAGCCTGATCCAGTGGAAGGTATCCCTGCTCATGGCAGGGGGTGGAATGAAGTGACTCTGAGGTCCCTTCCAACCCAAACCACTCTATGAGTCTATAACACATCCCTGGACTGTTTATCAGGGACTCAGTGGGTTCCAGCAGTGCAACATTCACTCCTGATTTCCATGAACAGGTTTAAAGGAGTTTATTTAGCTGAGCTCAGAAGAGAGGGGAAGAGCTTTCCAAATTCCATGTTCCCTGAAAGATCCCACTGACACCTTCCTGTACAGACATCCACTGAGTCCTTGGTGTTTCTGCTGACACAGAACCCTGCTCTTCTCCTCACAACTGTCCTCAAACCCTTCATCTGGAATAGGATTTAAAGAAATTTGTAATTGTCCATCCTCCTACTGCTTCCTGCCCTCCTTTGCCTTTGGGACTGTTAGCAGGAATGAAGGGGAACTTTAAAATTGAAGTTTCCATGGAAAGATACAGAAGGTCTGGAGAATAAATAAGCTATATCCCTCATATAGAAACAGAACACCATAGAAAATATGTAGAAATTCTTGTTCTGACTTTTTTTTTTACCACTGCTCCTCTTGATTATATTAAGGCAAGCACTGTGTCCATCTATTTGTGTGTTGGGGGCCCTGGGTGCTGCAGTTTGCCACAGCTCATTACAACCAGATGTTTTCTTTTCTCCCAGCTGTTATGGTGGCCTTGGACGCTCATGTCTTGGTGAGTATTTGTCTCCATGCCTGACTAACCCATCCCACAAAGCCACAGAGCCAAATTCTGCTGTGGGAGCAGACCCCATCCCACAAAGCCACAGAGCCAAGTTCTGCTGTGGGAGCAGACCCCATCCCACAAAGCCACAGAGCCAAATTCTGCTGTGGGAGCAGACCCCATCCCACAGAGCCAAATTGCTTCTCTGTGGATGCAATCCAAACTGCCACTCCCAGGAGCAGCCTGGTTAATAGAAAGGACATGAACCAATTCCTCTGCACCTGATTCATCCCGGTGCTGCCCCTTACAGCTTTCAGGAGCGTTAGTTACTGTGTGTTCCCAGAGGAAGGGGTGATGATAAGGCCAGAAGACACAAAGGGGAATTCACTGGGTGTACTGGCACTCATTCCTGAAGAGCCTAGGAATTGCATGCCAGATGCTGCTGGGAAGGCAGGGGGAAAATAGCAGGAGGGTTTTCACCTTTTGCCAAAGCCCATAGGCTTAGGCAGGAGCAGCGGGCAGATGGGCCAGTGCCCAGAAATAGGATTCTGCAAGAGATCCAAGAGCTCTGGGACCTGGATAGGTTTGCCAGGATGGTTTTCATGGGACAAATCAGTGGCTGTGTGCAGTCAGAGGTGCCCAGCAGCATTCAGGTGTAAACACTTTCCCCTGCAGTGGCTGCATGTCTCCTGCTCCAGCTTTCGGACACCCTAGCACCTCAGCAGGTGATAGAGAGCCTCAGGAACCTGAGAGGATCAGGGGCCATCCAGACTATCAAGGTAATGGGGCTGCAGCAGGTAACACACAGGTCCAAAAACCAGTGAGAGCTCAGCCAGTCCCCTCCTTCACTTCCCAGAGATACCTCTGTGTTTCTAACACCTGCTCCCTGGGGTTTGAGCTGTTTCCTGCTTTCAAGAAACAGCTTCTCCCAGGAAACTGGTGACTGGACAAGAGGAAAAGGCCTCAAGTTGTGCCAGAAAAGGTTTAAGTTGGATAATAGAGAAAATTTCTTCACTGAAAGGGTTGTCCAGCCCTGGCACAGCTGCCCATGGCAGTAGTGGAGTCCCCATCCCTGGAGAGATTTAAAAGCCATGTGGATGCACTTAGGGACGTGGGGTAGTGGTGGCCTTAGAGTGCTGGGGGAATGGTTGGACTCAAAGACCTTAGAGAGAATTTCCAACCTAAATTATTCCATGATTCAAAATAAAGCAGCTTTGAATTCTGACAACTCCCACCTCTGAGGACCACGTTTTGCATTACTTTGGGGTAATGCATCACCTGTGGCCATTATGGGGAACCACAGGATCCAAGTCAACATCCATGGAATCTGTGTCTGACAGTGAAAAATCCCAGAGGATGCGGAGTAAACACACAGAGAACAAATGTACCAGAGGGTGCAGTTTTCATCCAGGGGTATCAAACAGCTTTTTGACACAGGTGGTGCCTCTTAAAGCACAGAGCACTCACTGCAGACCTGGCTGTGCATTTCCAGCAGTACAACTTCCTCCATGACTTCCGGGAGAACCTGGCTGCACACCTGGCAACAAAGGAGCCGGTGCTGAGATCGGCATCGCGGTAGCTGATCCCGGGCATCTGTGCCCGGGAAAACTCCTGGACAAGACACCTCTCTCCTGACCTTTCCTCATTGCTACTGCCTGTGTGACACAGCTGCTGCCTTCCAAATCCATGTGTAAAGTATTGGGGTGGGGAAGGAAATCCTAGAGAACATGTGGCACCTTCCCCTCTTTAGTGACTTTAATACTCACTGCCTGAAAAATACGTGTACAAGTGTGTTTGTGTCCGTTGCTGTTCTGCTGGGAGAATGGAGCTGGATAGAAATTGCATCTGTGGAGCTGTTTAAAAACACCCTCACACCATCAGCTCTGCTGTAAAGCAAAGTCAAGTCAAGCTGGAGCACTCACCCTTAGGAGCTCGTAACAACTCGTTCTAAAGTGTCACGGTTCTGCTCGATGTGTTGAGGGGTATTTGGGAAGGAGTCTCCTCATTCCAAAAGCAGGAGGTGTCGCACCACAAATCTGTGACAAAGGCAGCAGGGGGGTTGGAGGTGACAGTGGCAGGAAGACGCTGCAGCAGCTGCGTGGGTGAGCTGGCACAGCCCTTCTGCCTGCTGCCAGCACTGAGAGCAAACAAACAATCAGCTGTGGGCTGGCAGGATCTCACAGGAACAGTCCTCCAGCAGTCCCCAGCCCTCCTGTTTCACTATATCCATTCAAAGCAAGATGAAACAGCTCCTGGCTTTTGCTAAAGTTCAGGATTTTGATGAAGTTGAGGACCATCTCAAGTCAAAAGTAGGGACGAGACTCCACACACCAGGGGGCTGGAGTTGAAGAAGTGTCTGCTTTGTGAACTTCAGAATTTATCTTTTAACATTTGAACTTTGAGCACAAATGTGATTTTGCAGATTGACTAGTGTTTACTGCCATTCCCCTCCCTACTCTTACAGCAAACAACAGGAACTTTTCCACTTTCCACAGCATAGAATAGTTTACAGCAAATACCCTGACCCATATGTGCTTCAGTACTTAATCCTTGCATCTAATGGTTTCCAGATATTAAATATTTATCACATGACTCAGCAGGAAGCTTGATGAGGGCGAGAGAAATGTTCTTTATCTTCTCCATAATCATTTTGCCTCCTAGAACTCTAAAAACAATGATCAGGTCCACATTTTGAATACCAAAGGCCTGATACTCCAGGAAGGCATCACACAAGAGCTCCTCCAACATTCCTGGGAAAGGAGGCTGATGTTGCTGGACAGGGATGGTGTTATCCACACCCCTGGCAGCTGGGAATACTCATCTGCACCCCAGGTCCAGCTAAAGCTGCTCAGCAGCAGGACAGTGCAAACACTTGGGTAAATTGTGCTGGGCCTTTGCAGCTGGAGGGGCTGCAGGAGCAGCTGTCACTTGGGCTCACTCAGGCCTGCATTGTTTATTCCAGTGTGGAATTTGGCTCAAACCAGCCCAAATGCCAAGGGAACAAGAGATTTGTTTAGAAGGTTGAGGAGAGCCAGGGGCTACAAGCAGCCAGTCTTGTTTCCATAATGGATTAATAAATATACAAACATAAGAAAGGTTTAATGAGCTTTGCTTCCACAGGCTGAAGTCATCTCTTACATCTTTGGAAGAGCCAAGCAGCAGAAAAATAAAAATGATCCAACAGGAACAATATTCATGAGTTTCCAAAAAAGCCTTTCAAAAATTCTTCAGTGAAAAGCTAAAAATTATGGTTGCACGAGATAAAAAAACAATTACAGAATGCTGAAGGCTTGAGCAGTAGGGGCACAGGAAATGTGAGAAAATCAATTTTATGTACAAAGCAATAAACTGTCAGGACTATTATTACTTAGGAAAGAGAACTTTAAGTTATCACAGCCCGAATTCTCTTATTTCTTAATTCTCTCTCCCCAGTATATTTATAAAAACTAGAAACTACCACTCTCCATCCCCTGGGAACCCAAACTTTGTGATAATTGCCTAAAAAGGGGAAGGTTGTGGAGGAGAAATGACAGTCCCAAACCTGTGGAATGACTTCCAAGCAGAGACCAAACAGACTTAGCCCCTGGACAGGTGACATGAGTAAAGTGTTCATTCACACCCAGCACAAGTAAGGGGAAAGGGGGGACATTTTCACCACGTCCTAAACAATAAGAGTGTAGGGTCACTAAGTGAAGTCTGGCAGAACTGTTAAATGCCTTTTTTTACACACAGCAACTCCATTGCAGAACTCACTGTCAGGATTGCCCAGAGCAGCTGTGGCTGCCCCATCCCTGGAGTGTCCAAAACCAGGTTGGACAGGGCTTGGAGCAGCCCGGGATAGAGGAAGGTGTCCCTGCCATGGCAGGGCTGGAATGAGATGAGATTTAATTTAATGTCCCTTCCAACACAAACTGCTCTGGGATTCTGTGATCTTCCAGGCCAGGCTACAAAAGTGCTCTAAAAGCAGCTGAACTGATGGCACAAAAGCCATTCAGCTTTTTAAAATGCCAAAGCCCACTCAGGACATCTGTAACAAAGATTTCCAAATTTCTCACTCTCCAGGCAGACACTCAACACCTGCCCTGTTTCATATTCCTTCCCTCAGCCATTGCCACTGCCCAACACAGTGTTGGAATATCTGGATTTCTGGTGGAACCCAGTGCAGCCATTCATTCAATTTTTACTGCCCCTAACACCCAAGAGACCCACAGTGAACAAATACACAGTTTATGCAAAAAAAAAAAAAAGTTTTACTAGAACGGGGAAACTCTGCATTGTTCTCCAGCACAGGTAAATGAAAAAGATCCCTAATTATTACTTGTAAATTATGCAGCTGTTCACAGTCACAATTTACATTGCAATATTTATCTGAAACATCTTCCCCTGCCCCATCTGCTATTTACTTCAGGGAAAAAAGCAGGAAATCAGAGCTTCCCTTTTCCAGAGGTAATTAAATTCCGTATTCTATTTTTAAAGGGAATGCAATAATTGTAAAACAACTGATGAACACAGTGAGGATCTGTTGAATTTATAAACAAAACAAAAGGCACCACATAAAAAGAAATGTTGCTGAATTTGAGATTTGTTTTTTATTATCATTTATTGCACTAAGGAACAGCGGGGCAGTTTCACCATCTCACCTTCTGCTTTGAAAGAGTCTGTAGTATTTACTACTCTTAAACCCAAGAGTGCTTTTATCATTGGACTTGATAAACGTTGGAGGTTTGTCCATTTGTTAATCAGCACAGACATTAAAAAAAAAAACATTTAAATTCATTCCTTCATGGACAATTCATCTCCTATCACAATGACAAAGGCTCGAGATTAAAGCAGGGTTAATGTTTGGAGAAGATACAGAAGGCTCTGGACCTGTGGATGCACATACAGGGGAAGATTAACCAGATAATAAAAAAATAAACCAAAACAGAACTATTTTTGTTTTTGTGTCCATGAATTAATATCCTAAGACCAACATCACCTATGGGCAAAACATACAGCATTCCAGTCATTCCCAAGCACTTGGAGCTAGGGCTGGTTCAGAGTAAAGAGTGGGATACACAAGTCCAAGTGAGCCACTACAAAGCCCATCCTACAGCAAATCCCTAGAGTGCTAAGGCTAGTAGTAACCAACACCTACTTGAAGGTTATGGCTGTTCCTTATGGAGTGCAAAGTCAGAACTTTTCAAACCCCAGTCATCTTTATATTAATTTACACATAATTCATTAATTTCAGCGTCCCAGTAAAATATAAGAAAACAGTCTTTCCACAGGTATAAAATGTGGAAATATTTTAAAAATAGGGGAGTCATTGTTTTCTAACTCAATTGTCAACATCAGGTTCCGGATTTAATCTTGGTCAGAGGTTCTTGTTGTAAAGAATCCATGTTTTTTGTGGCTTTTGCATGCACTTAACTGGAACAAAGCTTGCTGAATGTCTTCTTAAGAGCTCACCAGAACATAAATCATGCTGCAGAAGGAAAAAAAAATATTAAGATGCATCATTTTGATTAGTGTTACACATTTATTTCTAACAGGGTCTATTATAAGGAACAAGTCCATGTGAGATATGTGGATTGTGACTGAATATTTGACAAAATGACTTCTACTTTTGACTTCAACAAAATCACATTTACATCAAACACCTTCCTCTGAAAACAACGTTTCAGCTTCTTAATTAAAATACCCTGGGATTTATTGTATTATGCTTAACAGAAGAAAAGTTTGGAGATTTTTAGTCTACAGTCATGGAACTGAGATTCAAAATAGTAATTCTGACCAAATTAGGATTTGTGTTTTAAAGCAGAATCAGGGGTGAATGTGGATTATTTTCAGGAAAGCTGGCACTGTAGATGATCATACAGATTCCCAGCATGTTTTGAGTTGGAAGGACTTTACAAATCATCTCACTCCAATCCCTGCTGGAGACCTTTGGCTAGGCCAGGGTGCTCCAAGTCCCCTCCAACCCGGCCTGGAACACTTCCAGGGATCCAGGGGCAGCCACAGCTTCTCTGGGCACCCTGTGCCAGGACCTGTCCTCCCTCACAGGGAACAATTCCTTCCCAATATCCCATCTAACCCTGCCCTCTGGCAGTGGGAAGCCATTCCCACACATCCTATCACTACACACCCTTGTCCAAAGTCCCAGCTCCCACAGGCTCCCTTCCAGCACGAGAAGGATCACATTCCTATGGCCAGTATTTCTCTCTGCACTCAGCCAAAGCTTCAGCCTGAAGAGGAAAACTTACCCATATAGGTAGTAAAAAAAAGATAGAAGGTAGAATGCTAATTTGCACCATCCTTCTTTCTGGCAATAGGCTAAAATATCTGCATTCATGATGGTCGTAGGATCGTAGAGCCCCGGGCCGCTCATCACGGGTCTGCTCATGTACCTGGAACGAGGCACAGGCAGGGTGGGCTGACAGCCACAGGAAACCCGAGTCCTGCCCCCACCCACCAGGGAATGCCACAGCTGAGACAAGGAGCCTTCCCTTTACAGAGAAGCAATTCAACTCCCATGTCTCAAGGAATGGCAGAGGAGATTGGAATCGCTGCTTCGACTGGCATTCCACACTGGGAATT